AAAAAAAAAAAAAAAGGAAAAAAAAAAATAGGCCTCAGCTCCCCAGATGTGGATTCTTACTGACCCCTTTTACATGCAGAATGAGATCCACTGACTGGTGCAGGGCTACACTTTTTAATCCATCCATCTGCTTGGTCCATGTGGAGCATTTTCTAACTCCTATCTTGGTGGAAAATATACTCTGAAGCACTAGACAGGACTGAAGCTGTGTGGCAGCACTTAACCATAATCAGTCATCCCAATAATCCAAGATATGACTATATTAATTTTTTAAGATACTAATTAATAAAGATAATTTAAATTCTTGCCAAGAATTTATAAACCTATGACATGTCCTAGGATTTCTGACTCCAAACTATATTTTGCAATTTATACTTAGCCTCTAATCTGGGAAAATGTTCATTCCTAACGCCATAAGCAAAGCCTAGGAAGACCAGAGTCTTCCTGGACAAAATCCTTAGCCAGCAACGCCTCTGTTTTGTCAGTTCTGCCTCTTTCTAGCTGGCCTAGGGTTGGATCATTCATTCTGAACAGGTATTTGGGCCCTGGGTTTTAGACTTGGTGCTTCTATTTCCAGAAGATTTCTAGGCTCATCCATAAATCCTGAGTATACTCAGTGCCTTTAGGGAGCTTGCACTGTTTCTATTCAGAAAACACCAGGACTTTTTTTTTTTTTTTTTTTTTGGCAGAACCAGGGATTGAACTCAGGCCCCCTTGTGCTTGCCAGGGATGCACTTATTCTACTGAGCCATCTCCCCAGCCCCAATACCAGGACTTAAAAAGAAAAAAAAAAAAAAAAAAAAAAAAAAAAAAAAGGTAGCTACTAACCATGATGGTGTACGCCTATAATTCCAGCACTTAGGATGCCTCCAGGAGGCAAGAGGATCCCTGGACAAGTTTTAGCCCAGACTAGGCATCTTAGCAAAACCCTGTCTCAAAATAAAAATTAAAAAAAGGCCTAGGAAGGTAGCTCAGAGAGAAAGCTCAGGTTCGATTTTTAGTACAAAAAAGAAAAAGAAACAGGGGCCAGGGGAATGGCTTAGTGGAATAAATGCTTCCCTGGCAAGAGCAAGGACCTGAGTTCAATCCCTGGTTCCACCAAAAAAAAAAAAAAAAAAAGGAAAAGAAACAAAAAACGGGAAGCCCAGGGTTGCCTATGCAATTTTTCTTATATCTCAGAAGTTTCTCCCTGGAAGATATTAATCACCCAAGCTTTGAGCAAGATTCCTGGGTGATCCTGATTTCTGTGGTCTGGCACAGTACCTAGCCCTGATTTGGCTTCCCCAAGTGGAACTCTAGCATATTCATTAAGTCTGCTGAAAAGTCAGGATCAGTCTATTTTTTTCATGCTTACTTTTCTTTTTTCAGTTTATCTTACCTTCTGGGTGCTCATTTTCCTGAGCTGAGGAGCTACCTGAAGTTACCTTGAAAGACAAGAGAAACACAGATTTAGCAAAATCTAGGTTCCATTCAAACTGAGCAATTAAAATGAATATGGGATGGGGCTGGGGAGATAGCTCAGTGGAATAAGTGCTTGCCTGTGTAAGGTCCCGAGTTCAATCGCTTGTGTTACCAAAAGA